ACGGAATTCGTGTATTAGAAGGTTAGTGCGGAAAGCAGTTTAGGAAATGAAGTGCTGATAGAACGAATGGAGAATGACGGAATTATAAAATAGGAAAGTATGTGCATGAGGATGCATCAGGAGACAGCGATGAAAATGTACTTAACGTTAATTAATATGCAAAGGAAAGCTGAAAATGATCAAATTTATATTCACAAAGCATTAAAATGTCTCCATCTAAGAAGAGAAGTCAGCGTCAAACAATATCACATTTCTGGCAGCAAGAGATGCCGCAATTCAATCAGTAACAAAGATAACATTATGAAGGCATTTGAGTGACGGAATGCTCTTTCCCTTGTTACACCAATGCTTACACAAAGACGTGGTAAAAACATAACAGCAGGATAATGACCCGAAACATAATAGTCACATTGCCCAAGAATTTCTTAAAGACAACGTTCCGGAGGTTATGACTGACCTTTTAATAGTCCGGACCTAAACCTTATTGAAAACCTTTGGGCGATTGTTAGAAGGGAATGTAGAAATGCGTAAGCCCAAAATCTTAACGAATTAAAACGGTTTATGGGTGAAGAGTAGGGACAAAATTCCGAATAGCCTTCTAATTAGTCTTGTAGAATCAATGCCATGGGAACGAATGTCATATTAATTTTTTTAATAAATCTACTGCTATTTAGCTTCAAAATGAGGTTTTGAGGTCTTTATTTAGCACACATGGGTGACCCCTAATTACTGTGCTTTTACTACTGAACATAATTATATTATTTACAAGATGGATTGACATCTCTCTACTGAGAGGAATTGGTTGTGTGCTCACTGTAAAACAAGTTAGCTCGGAATTAATGAAGAACGCTCTACAGCCTACAGTCTATTTTATTCTGCCCATTATTGTTAGTGCACACCTTCCCTGCGATTGTACTCGGGCAAAGCCTGCATACACTAGTAAGCTACAAGATGAATGGGGGTCAATCCTAACGTGTGCAATGTTGTCGATGCGTGGAACGAAGTAAAAGCACAGCAAACTTAAAGGAGTCCATATTGGAATTCTCGAGCATAACCGAATAGGATACCCCACTTGCGGAGAGACTTTCATAGCTTTCTACTTCTGCTTTTAACTTTTTTTCTCTGTATTAGGCAACAACTTTACGAGGACACAAAGCCTCGATAACGTAACTGTTGGCATTCCCACGGCTTTATAACACTCGGAAAAACAGATGATGGTATAAAAGCGGATCGCTGCCTGCAGGCATTTTTGCATTTTTTTACATATTACACAAAAACGCCAGAAAAAAAGAAAGAAACAGAAAAGGTAGCTTTTGTTTTGTTTTTTATTATAATATAAAGGTTTGGTTCTTTTTTTGGTTCTTCACTTTCGTAATAAACGCGATAATTAGCAGCCGATCATATATTCAAGAGCAGGTTTTAGTTCGGATGCTTGTTTATTGTTTTTGCACATCGCCGCTTGTCCTCAGTGTATGTGATAGGTTCGCATAGAATCATAGCTCAATAGTTCACTTGGAACGAATTGTCTGAACCGTTCGTGATCCTAGACTTGCTTCAACGAATGCTCCTCAAGTGAAACCATAATACTGTATTGAATATAACACTAGTCAAGAACAACGCCACCTTAATTCACAAGCCGAATGAAGAATTCGAGTTTGGACTTGAGTCGCAGTAAGGGTGAATATAATGATCACTACCGACTATGGTAACATTAGTGTGCGAAAATCCTTAATGATTGGTTGGCCCACGAATGTAGAGTCATCGCGAAATTGGTTAGAATGTTACCCTTAATGAAATATTGATCGCCTTCTGAACGGTTCACGCTCGGCTGTTGGAACGCATAGCGTATACATAGCACATACACGGCATATACATAAAATATACGTATTAAGATTTCATTAATGGAGGGGCTACTAACGCAGAAATAGAAATGATTTCGTCTACCAGAATTTGAAAGAACAGTCAGTTTCTACATAATCTTAGCCAATTAAAATTTCATTGTTTAAGTCTCCCCATTATTATTCAACGCTTATAAATATTCAATGTTTACTGTTAATTTAATATACCATCATTAAACGGCATATATACATATTGAACAAAACGAATGGTCATTACAATGACCATGATAAATTATGTACAAACGAAACGCATAATAAATACTATAAATTATGCATTCAAATAATCACACGTACTAAACACGCAAACTCTCTCTCCTTTTCTTCTACCTCTCTGCCTGTTTTCCTATCACGATGCTTCTTGGATTTCTCGTCTCATCATTATCGTTACTAGCCTCGCTTGAAGTTGACGATCGAGAGATGGTAGAACTGACTGCAGGAATTGCACGTTTACTGCTTGCTATTTCACCCTTCAACCGGTGGTGCGGATATGTCTTTAATTGATTCGTCAATTGTTCAGCATACCGCGAGATCATACTCGCGAAGTAGAACTATAGCGAAAAAAAAAAAAAAAAAAAAGTGGCGAAATTCCCGTTAGCGATTTAACCGTTTCCGATGTGACCCGATTTGACGTAAAAACTTACCGTCCATAAGAGCATGACAAGTTCGAGTGCGGTTGCAAAGATCAAAAACCCAAGGATAGCATGTTCGCAAGTATGACGAATGTCATCTTCAGTAACCGTCTGTAACCCTCCATCTCCAGATGTAGTCCCGTTCCCAGTTCCAGGTCCGGATCCGGGAGTAGGTCCAGGCGTAGGTCCGGGCGTCGTTCCGGACGTAGTTCCACTCCCAGTTCCAGATCCGGGAGTCGTTCCACCTCCAGATCCGGGCCTCGTTCCACCTCCAGATCCAGGCGTATTCCCACCTCCAGATCCAGGCGTATTCCCGCCTCCAGTTCCAGGCGTATTCCCACCTCCAGATCCAGGCGTATTCCCGCCTCCAGATCCAGGCGTATTCCCACCTCCAGTTCCAGGCGTATTCCCACCTCCAGTTCCAGGCGTATTCCCACCTCCGGTTCCAGTTCCAGTTCCACTTCCAGCTCCAGGAGGACCGAGCTGTCGTTTAAAAGGTCCAGTGAACCAATGTGTGCCGGGATTGTAAGCCGTACCGTTAAGTTCGTGGACTTTTTCTACACACATGTCATTGAAGTTGCCTCGATTTTTCCAGAGTATAACTAGATTTGCAATGGCCATCGCGATAGCAATGAACATGGTTATACGTATTAACATAGACATTATACGGACTAACCGGGGTTTAGCCTTGCGTAGGAGAGGACAAAAGACGTGATAGTATTTAGTTAGTTTCAATGGTTAAACCCCAGCTGTAAAATTCATCTGGTGGTTTTACGATTTGCATAGTGATAGTGTAAATCGAGCATACCGTAATCGCAGATAACAAAGCGAATACCGCAAGGACAGACCTCACGGCATATGCTAGCCCCATTGTTAGCAAGAAGGCTCGCGGGAGAAATTCAATTTCTGTAAAACGAGGAGACGCATTACAAGATAAGTTGGTATATCCGAAAGCGTTTTTGACGTTGACAATCGTAATCCCGCGCATACACAGTTTTTTAGAGAGGACCGTCGCATCTCTCATTCTTTCTCATAAATTGTTTCTCTCTCTCTCTCTCTCTCTCCAAATTCTGAACTTTACCTTTATCCCACAACAAATGGGCATATGCACCTATTGCACAAGTGAGCTATCAAAATTTGCAACCACGTTATTTAACCTCGCGCGTATTCTTACATAATGCGATATACGGGTAAAATGAAAAAGGGTAACTTACAGCCGAGATGATAGCGAGGAGCATTGTACCCACCCGCAGGCCGATACTGAATAAAATGACGAGGAAAAAGGCATATATCATGTAAGCTGTTGATAAACGTACAAATAAATGTATATCAATCACTTACCAGAAGCAACACCGTTCGACCATGTTTCAGTAAACGTCTTTTGTCTTAGCACAAGTATAGAATACACTTTGTGTGTTGGTCTTTTATACCACTTGTTTTCTCCTGTCGTTTATAAAGTAAAAGATTTTGTTACATTATCATATAATCCGTCTTTATATATCGCCAAACCCATTTGGCTAAATGATCCAAGTTAAAAATTTGTAAACGCGTGGCTGAGTGGTGGGCTAAGGCCAACGGAAGGCTTTGTGCTTAGCTCTAATGAAAACCAATAAATTAAACGTACCCAAGGGTTTTCATAATAATAAGCCTCGTTTATCTCGTCAAAACAAATCTGTTGGGTTGTATGACAAAATGGAGATTTCATTTGATCGCGATGCAACGCCACACACAGAATCGACATATTTAATTATACAAAGACGCCAGCAAAGGCAGTTTAATCAGTATCAGGTCATTCAACAATGTTAAAATTAGATGAAAAAAGGTCAGCAATCGTCTTTTCAGAAGGGCAAGCATGGTGACACATGCGGTTCTGATTGGAAGTGAAACGGTTAGATTGTTTCATAACGTGTATTAGTATTTAATATTTAATATGTTAACTGTCTCAGTGTGATGGAATCATTTATTTAGGGAGAACGGTTAATCGTTGACCTTGCCAATAATAATAAACGTAAAGTGCAAAGACCCTCCCGAACTAACTATCCAGTCCCTCAAAGAAACTCTCATTCGTTATACTCTTTCCGAAATGACTTGTATGAGTTCACTGTCTAATACTAACGACTTCCGGTAACAGTAATTACAAAATCTTGGCAATCCACAAAATTTTTCGATCACGCTTAAAGAGATATATTAATATGCTGTTTAATGGCCCTATTTATTACTCATTTAATCTCGACGCGTCATACAAGTTTTCGCATCACAAATTAAAATTTCTCGTATAAATCGTATAACGACATATCAGGTATAGGCGCATTTACCATGTGGTGCTAGCTTGTCAAAACATTCCAAGGTTCTTTCTTTTATTTGATACCACTGCTTCTGTATTAGCGATCACACCTATGCGGGAATGGATGAATGGATGACTGACACTCGTAATCACTATTCGGTGGCTGAGCTGTAATGTCCGAGCTCAGGCTCGGTATTACAATATGTTCTACCTTTCTACAGTCTTAATACTATAACCGACACGATCATGGCAACTCTGTCTCAAAAATGCACATTCGCTGTTACATCATGATCTTCTGAATTCAACCTCTATCTCGGAAATGCTTACGGGCACTCCACCCTAATAAAAAGAGAGAGCATTAAATAAATTTATTACTGAAATCCAAATAACCTCTTGTTTTTTAAAGTGCATACGTTTTCGTCGTAGTCGGCCCAATATCCTTCTGACAAGTCAATGTTTTCAAATACTGTTCTCGATTCAGAACTCACTGCCTTGAATCCAATCTAAAAATTATGATAATGGCAATAAAAGCAACATTACTACTAGAATAGCTGGTGGACATTGCACAGCACGTTGTTAGACCCCGAATTAGAGATAGCTCCATATCACGTCGGGTCATTCGTTTCCACTAAAACAACCCCATATGTTTACCATACGCACTCTAGGTTCAAATCCAGTAAACTCCAACCCTCGACACTCGATAACAGCCATCTGTGCGTATTTCCCACTATCATCGCTTGTATAAAAAGTAGTAGGTTTGGGATCGAATTCTAAAGCCAATACAAAATAGCCGTTGGTTAAATGTCATACCACAAGCCACACAAACAAAAAACAAATACATACGTGCACTGCTCTCTCGCCTACAGAATTTGCATCTCATGACGAAATTGGCGCTTCCTCTCGAGCCAGATATTTCGTTCTGCGCCTATCATTGGAAAAAAGACATTATATTTATAGACGCAAGTCAAATAAAAGAAATATAGAGATATACGGGGTAAACATCGGTATACCGACGCTTCGTTCAAATTCTTTTCAGCAAAGGTTTTCATATCTCAATCTCCATTCATTATAGCCCGTCCATTCAACACTGATAGTACGCGAGCTTTATTATACCGTCACTACTTACTAGTCGATTGACTCCAACCCAATTTTCGTTTGTTTCATTACAACTCGTACACTTGACCTTATAAAAACATACGAATGATTATATTCTCATTTGTTGCAACAGAGGTATGGCACTGCCTTTTTTTTTTTCATTAAAAATCACACCCAATAACAAATGCAAAAGATCCGGACTAGAAAACCTTAAAATGCCACTCGTACGCATCGTCTCCTGGACCAACGTCAGTTACATTCTCAAGATCTGCTTTGAAGAATAGTGCGAGTTTCTGAGTCAAAAGGCATGATCATTGGCATAAGTACGTTCAATGTTTTTAGTTCCAGAGGGAGGGGAAAAATACTCGCGATCGCAAGCCTGTAGTATATTCTTTAAGGTTGACTTACCACCATGACTTGCCAAGGTTATGTGGGTGATGCAGAAAGTGAGATGGGGGATCAAGAATAAAATATGATGTGAATTCGCAAATCACATAATTCTGTGTTACATTCAAAGAATTTCTACAAGTATTGCGATTTTCTAGTTATACTCGGTATCTCCCACTTTCGTAAAATGCTCTGATTCTTCAGAGACGCCAGTTTTCTTCTACAACGATTCATTGTTATGCTGGGAATAGACTCCATAACATGCATATATATTAATATAATGTTTGTAGCTATGCAGACTCAGTTTTCATTGGTGGATCAGTCCCGTGGCACAATAATTCAAAATTGGCATAGTCTGTGAGTTAAAATTCAACTATATACCCCCGCAGTCTAGACATTTAAACGTTGGTATCACATTCCCAAAATGACTGACCCATCATAGTTACTGGTCGACACAAGCTTGAATCAATTGGCACGGATATTATGCGTCTTGTGTGAAAAGGCTGTACGCGTTTACGAATTATTCCCAAAATAGTACACGTCACAGAATGACAGAACACGCTATAATGTCGCACTTGTAAAATACCTCTATGTAACTGAAAATAATGTTTGGTTTGTATTGTAATTGAACAATAGTAATAGAGTATGCAAAATATTAATATTAAGAATATATGTAAGCATACATACTAGAGAAATATCCCTTCAAGCTTGCCATTGATGCACAATCTCTTGCATATCCAATCGCAAGAATTATTTCTTTATAATAACAGTGACTTGTACATATTATATCCACATATGAACTAGGAGCCCACATTACATCAGCGTGAACTTTTTCTAGTTCATTTCCCCTCCCCTCCTCCTCACACCCCTCGCTCTCATTTCAACTCGCTCACCAAGCTTCTCGCACACCTCCATTAAAAAACATTATGAATCTCTATAGCTAAATGGTAGCACTGGTTTGTTCTCCAAAATTAACTCGATTTCCGCAAAAATTTCTGGTGTCAACAAGGGGGCAATGCGCAAAGCACCCATGTTTTCTTCCAATTGTTCTGGTTTAGACACACCCATGATTACTGTACTCACATTTGGTTGTCTTATCAACCTTGTAGAAATGGAAAAAGGGGTTCTGATTAGAATTAGTCGCAGTAAAAAAAAATATCGACAAAAGACGGCTTACCATGCCAGACATACTTGCGCAAGAGTCGCATTTAATTTTTGTGCAATTATCTAAAAAGTCTTGCGTCAGTAATAATTCGTTTGTCTCTTTGCCCATGCGCGTATGCCGCGTTCACGTTACTCGTAAATGTCCGGTCATCATTCACGCACCTGTAACCTGTTAATCTTTTTCATTTGCTGCCTCCCCTCTTCGCTAAGCCACTTTTCTTTTAACATGGTCATAACACGATTATCAGCAATGTCTAACCGGGAGCCCGGACAAATTCCATTGTTATGTTTGCCGGTGAGTGTACCGCTGGCAAGCGGGGACCAGACGGCGCCACCCATGCGGTATTCTTTAAAGAGGGTGTGGTATTCAACTTCGAAACGGTCGCGATGGAACATATTATATTGAGTCTTGTGGGGAAAGGCAATTTAATTAATGGGAGGAAATGAAAAAAAAAAAAAGCGGCTTTTTTTATCAACTATCGCATTTGCGAATTCACTAAGCGCACCTGTTCCAACTGTGTAGGAAGATAGGAAGGGAAAAGGTGAAGAAAAAATAGGCTTCTCGTTAATACTAGTTTTCTCATTAACACAAATATTTTCAAAGCAAACGTCCAATTACTCACCAAAGGCGGAATAAGATTTAAATATCTGGCAACAGTATGCGCTTCAACGATCTGTGCTGCAGGCCATTCTGAGGTGCCCCAATAGAATGCTTTTCCCTGTTCGATTACAAAGTTAAAGGCGCGAACCACTTCTTCCATTGGCTAGAGATGGAATATAATAAACGTGATTGAACCATCAGATTGGAATACATGGAGACGTTCGCGTTTTTAAAAACGGATTTGATTTGATGAGAATTATAAATTGTGGCTGTATTAGTGCTAGCTTGATTCGTTAGCATAAACGGATCGTTCACACTTATTCTGTTGTATCACGTGATAATTGCTAAGTTGATCAAATATGCCCTTTCCTTTTCCCTCTTTTCCTCGTTGACTCAATCGTCTTTCGAATGAAAAAAAAAACCAGTTCAGAAAGCGCTTACCGTATCCGGATCGTAACGATGAGCATAAACGATATCGACGTAATCCAAACCCAACCTTTGTAATGAAGCCCGTAATCCCTCGACGACATGTTTTCTGGAAAGTCCTCGATCATTAGGACCCTGCCCTCCCCAGAACACCTTGGTGGAGATTACAAAATCAGAACGTTTCCACTTTAGATGCCTTATTGCCTGGCCCATGTCGATTTCACAGTTACCGCTGGCATAAACTTCGGCTGTATCAAAGTAGTTTATTCCGTGGTCAAAAGCGGCCTGCATGCATTTTATGGTTGTTTCTTGAAAAGAAAAATAATGGAAATAAGTAGAATGATTACGAAAAGTATGGTGATTTTTGCTCAATCATGAAGGGGACGTTGTAGTCGAGTGGTAGAAAGAGAGGTGGGGAGAAGAGAAGAGGGCGGGAAATTGAGAGAGTTTTTCGCGTGCTTTATGCGTTATAAACTTTACCAAGTGGTACTTGAGCGCCAAATGTGACCCAACCACCGAGCGACAGTGTTGATACCTTTAGACCACTATGACCAAGATAACGGTACTCCATCTTTATATGGAGTTCGAGACAATGGTAGATTAAGGTTATTTATAAATGAATTATATCAAATCGCAGACTTGCGGTAGAAGGGTCTTGTTTATTAGAAAAGAAGAAAATTAGCGGGTAAAGTGATGTAACGTTCGTCTTTTTAAACAAAATTCTCTCCCCCCTCTTTCATTTTGGGTCCCCATCTCTAACCATTGATGCTAACTTAGCTCACCAACAATTTTTTTTAAGATTCAATTACCTGAATGAGGAAAAGTGATCCACAAAAAGTGCGAGTATGTGGTTTGTGCGAGGTGCTTGGAAGAACATTTATGCGGGGTTTCCGCATCCAAATTCTTACCATTCATAATACAAATGTCATCATCCATTGTGTGATTCTTATTATACGGTTATCAACCCCAATCGGAACAGGCAACCCTTTGATCAAAAACGTCAGAGGGAAGAAATTTTAAGCGGGTCCAAGCCCGATTACATTTTTTTTTTACGAGGACCAAACAGAAGATGTAACAAAAAAAAATGCGTGGGCCCTCTTCTGTGCATTGATTGCATCAGCAAAATCACTTGTGAAAATTCTTCTTGGGAAACTTTCAGTTTGAAACAATGCAGTCCACTCGGAATCAACATTGTAAAGTACCTACCGTTTTTGGCATTTATTTGTTTTATGCCGTGCAAAAATTGACGAAATTTTTACGGAAAGCTATTGGAAAAGGGGAGTTTTCCGGTTGGATGTGCCCTGATTGCGTGAGTTATTTTTGCCAACCAAAAAAATAGAAAGTAAAAAAAAAAAAAAAAAAAAAAAAAAAAAAAAAAAAAAAAAAAAAAAAAAAGAGTTATAAAAAGATGACTTTTCCTCCTCCAGGACCTGAAAACCAAACCAAAACAAAAAGAGAAAAGACAACCAATATGCCTAGATATCCGAGACCAAGTGTGAAGAGAAAGAGACCTCCTCCCAACAAAGAACCATTTACAATACCAAAAGATCCATATCCCTTTGATAAACAATATCATTATCCCTTTTGCTTTCCAGGAATCGCAGGGGAAGAAGAAGATTCGGACTGTCAACCATGTAAAAGACTTTGGAGAATGCAGGGAGATATGTACGAAGCAAAGAATCGACAAAAAGATAATCTTTATTATAACCATGCTACGGCTTGGAGGGAATATCGTGACGGCACAAATTCATGGGACCAGATAGTAGAAGCATATGATCCAAAACACCCAAGTCAAGACCATTATGTTTATAAAACCTATAGAGACAAATATCGGGAAGCGGTTCTACAACGAATTAAGGAAGTGGATGAATATTTCGCAATTAAACGCGGTCAAATAAACCAGCATTATAATGGCAAAGATTATACCGTAAAATGGAACTCCGAAGGTATCCAAATCGATGAACAAAAGCTTACCTGGTTTCAGATCAAAAGAAACCAACGGCAACTTGCCCGACGATATAAAAAAGCAACATCGATTATTTTTGATTTCCGAGGCCCATATGCGCGATGTTGGTGTCCACAAATACCTGAATTAATATTGAACGACGATGAAGAATGCGAAAAATGTCGCCAGATGGTAATTAATACCGCGATTATTGGTTTAATTGCTAAGGAGCAATGGATCAAAGAGAAGAAAATCCACCCTTGGTTCACGCCGATTGAAACACGAAATTTGACTTGGCAAAAAACGGCAATACCCGGACCATTCGAAGTACAACTATTATCTAAAGATGCCGTCCTCCCAACTAAAGCATATAATAAAGACGCAGCTTGGGATATTTACGCTGCGGAAGATGCTAGACCCAATCAGAACGGAGTATTACGTATACCAACACATATCAAACTTAGGTATTCTCCAGGACATTACGGACAGCTTCTGACCAAATCGTCACAAGGGGAAAGAGGAGAAATAGTACTAGCAGGAGTATTGGATGAAGGGTTTACAGGGGAAATACAGGTCTTAGTGACCCGAGTATTACATCCGGAAGAGTTTCGAATCACGAAAGGAATGAAAATAGCACAACTGGTTATACATTCAGCTCCCAGAGTAGATATCGACGGGTTAACAGACACATTATCGATTAGAGGAAAGAAAGGATTTGGATCATCAGATCCTAAACGAATACAGATTATTGAAACAAATAGTGTCCAATACATATTGAGTATTCAACAAGACAAGGATGAGAAAAAGACTGCTGAAATAGACAAGTTGAAAAAGCAGTACCAGGATATATTCATACCAGAAACTGAGTCTCAAGGAATGACTATAAAAGGAACAACTATCTCGGGATTTGAGCATAAAATATTCCTAACTGATTATACGCCAATTAAACAACGCGTACGACCACTAGCACCGATAAAAGCTGAATATTTAGAAAAAGAGATACAAACGATGTTAGATAAGAATATTATTCGAAAATGTCCACAAGGAAGAGTGTCTTGGGCATCGCCAATAGTTATTGTAGGCAAAAGAGGCGGAAAGATGCGAATGTGCGTTGATTATCGACAACTTAATGATGTAACGATAAAAGATCCGCATCCCTTACCCAACATACAGGAAATGATCGATAAAATGGGGAAAGCACAATATTTTACTACGCTCGATTTGGCTAGTGGATATTGGCAAGTAAAAATGTTCCCAGCACACCGGAAATATACAGCCTTTATATGCCCTTTTGGACATTATTCCTTTAATGTAATGCCATTCGGACTGTGTAACGCGCCGGCAACATTCCAAAGTATGATGGAAACAATATTATTAGGATTTCGAGCGAAATTCTGTGAAGTATATTTAGATGATATCATTATATTTTCTGCTACATGGGAAGAACATCTCCATCATATTCAACAAATATTCCAGAGGCTTCGAGAATATGGCGTAGTACTCAAAGAATCCAAATGTCATTTCGGAAAACAAGAGACCGAATATTTAGGATTTATGCTCACACCAGACGGATATCGCACATTAGATCGGATTGTCAAATCCGTCCAAAACTTCGAGAATAAATCGATTGGTGAAAAGGTCGACAAAAAGTTTGTACAGAGTTTCCTTGGGACTTGTGGATACTATATGAAATTCATTAAAGATTACGCGACGATCGCAAAACCCTTGTCAGCCTTTACTCGTGACAAGAAGAAATGGAGAGAACCAGCGCCACCTGGTACACGACGAAAATGGATATATCATGAAGAAGAAAACGATTTTAGATGGGGTCAAGCGCAGTACGACGCGTTCGAAAAATTGAAAGAAATACTGGCGAAAACTACAGAAGATGGAGGTGTCCGCCTCCAGTACCCTCAGAAACGATGGCAATATGTAGTAAGGACAGACGCTTCGAAGCAAGGAATTGGAGCAGCGTTACTACAAATCGATCCAAGAGATAACCAAGAATGGATATTACAATATCGAAGTAGAGTATTTCGACCGGCTGAGGAAGGTTATGATATGCATGAGAAGGAAGCGCTAGCCATTTTTTGGGCATGTAAACATTGGTTCTACCAATACCTGTATGGCGCAAAGTTCAAGTTATATACAGACCACCATTCATTGATACAAGCATTCGGAAAGCGGGATAAGTCATGCGGAGAAAGAGTACGTCTCTGGGCACTTCAATTATCCGATTTACAATATGATATCATACATGTTGAAGGAAAACGGAACGGATTAGCTGACTGGCTATCACGAAATCCGTTGGCAGTGGAGCAAGATATTGAGGAAGAAGATATGCCATTCGTTAAATTGCCGCCATCAAACCAAAATTAGACCACTTACGAAATCATGGGTTAGAGACACTGAACTGCGTAGCAATGCAATATTGATCTACCCAAACCTTCAGTGGATAGCTTATGAGTGTCTCCCAGGATAGGCGATAGTGGGTTAGCAAAATATATAAAGGCTATCAATTCCCTCAATTACACGGATAAATCAACCAAAATCTTATCAAACGGAAGTTACTATACCATTCAACATGAACAACGAACAATATCAACAAATAGTTAACGTCTTATCATATCCCGCACAAAGGCATCCAGTCCGAATTAGAAGACAAGCGCAAGAGTATGAACTAGAAAATGACATGTTAATGCGAATCTGGAAGAATGAATGGAAAACGGTGATTAAGAGAGACCAAATGAACGATCTACTTTATTACGTGCATAACCATCCTATGGCCGGACATTTCGGTAAAGAACGAACTCTGATGAAACTACAAGAAAGTTTTTGGTGGCCGCGTATGGAAGACGATGTCAATAGATATATTGATAAGTGTGAGAATTGCCAACGAGAAAAGAAAGCGAAAAGATCTGAACCATTACGACCCATACCAATCACAGGATTGTTCGAACATTGGGGTATAGACCTGGTTGGTCCAGTAAATACTTCAAAGAACGGACATACCTACATGATAGTGGCCATCGATTATTTTTCCAAATGGGCCGAGGTAGCAGCATTATCTACTAAAGATGCGAGTAGCGTAGTTGCCTTTGTTACTAGGCGTATAATATGTCGACACGGTATACCTAGCGAAATCACAACAGACAACGGTGCCGAATTCGTTAACTCACAATTCGAATCGTTATGCAAAAAGAATCGTATAAAACAGATCAAAACAACGCCGTACCACCCACAAGGAAATGGACTAGTGGAAAGATACAATCAAACACTAGTGCGGACGTTACGTAAAATCCTCGATGGAGGACTAACGGAGTGGGATAATTTCATAGCACCCGCCACGTTCGCATACAACACCTCCGTTCAATCAAGTACTAAGAGTACCCCATATTACCTTGCGTACGGTAAGGAAGCTCGAACGCCTGACAAAGCCTTGTATACCGATAAGGGAAGTCCCGACGACATAGAATATAGAATCGGTCAAATAATATCGTTGAATAGTGACAGACAACGAGTCAGTAAACGCTTGGTGCAACAACAAATACGCCAGAAAAGACACTACGACGCTAAAATACAAGAAGGACCATACCGACCCGGAGACATTGTGTGGCTAGATCAGCCAGCGGAAGGACAGTGGCAGGAAAAACTAGAATTGCGTGCCTATGGACCTTATGAGATCGTCAGAAGAAACCGAAATGGGAAATACAAAATACGTCATAAAAATACTGGTAACACAGTCGATAAATGGATTCATGGCGATAAATTATTCAAAGCAGTAGAAGATTCTTGGTGGAAAAACGAACCAGTAGTTGCCATCGAGTACGATCCAGAGAGACATAAACCGTACGATTTTCCCCCGCTTCAAGGATAATATTGTATAAAATCCAAACTCCAAAGACTCATCACCTGAGGATAAGGGAATCAATATCAATCATTGGAGCAAATCATGTGGTAATAGAAATAATCTGTGAAAATCTTGCCTTTCTTGTAACGCGAAGCGCGAACAGGATAAACCGTTAGGTGAAGCACCGCGGGACCCTTGGGCAAGGCCGGCTAGTATACAGTGAAAACGATCCAAAGTGAATTACGTGAATGTTGTCATACCCTAACTTATATTACTGGATTAACTCCGATACCTGTCTTCGGCCAGGGCCAGCATTTGCTGTGAATGAGTATAAACTAAGAAATTTTATTCCCTTGCCGAAAAAATATTATAAAATAAAAAATTTTCAGAAATAAATATTATATTTATGAGGTCCGACTTGGAATATTTTCCAAGGAAGGATAGGATGGGCGGACGAGTAATCGGAGCAACCCACATGACACATATAGATACACAATTTTAAATTTAAGTTATTACGTCAGCAAATGGAATATTAGCCAGAATTAGATTTTCACTTTTATTCTCTATATTTGGTGAAATTACAGAATAATAAGAATGGAGAATTATCAATTGATAGTATATCTCTTAGTGAGACAAATTTCATGCGATAAGAAGGTAACGAAAAAGAAGACGCCGGAACAATAATTATTGGAAGACGGGTGGCTGACATCGATACTGGGCAAAAGTCAGATCCGACAGCGCTGTTTAAAAGACGAATGGCAGCGTCCGTGCATAGTCACTACGCGATTGGAAGAATCTGAAATTGGGAAACCATCAGCGGACAAATATCTATTTGGAAACTGGCTTAAATAACGCGGAATAATATTTGCGTTCTTGGAAGGATTGGGAACCCTGAGGATGATCGACGACTATTATTCTAAATGTTTATGTTGGAAGAAACTTCTACGATATCAAGATCCAAAACTGTCCCGGACTGGTGCATCATACATCTGCTTAGGATAGCAAGAGGAACCAATCTAGATATTCGCAAAAAACGCGCAGTGATACAGTGACGAATCAGCGACAAAAAAGTCTAAATTTAATTACCGGATGTACGACAGATTATCACGACTTGCTCTCATAATCTTATACGCGTAGGGTTGAGAATATCCTTAGGAAGTAAATAGATGACGCTTTATTAAGATATCGGGAGTACTGACGGGCGTATACTTATGGGACTAAGAATAGAATGCTTGTCTATTGGTACCCGCGGGAGTCAAGGCGTCCGCCTGATGCTTAGTAATCCTACTGTTTATCTATCTTACGAATATTCTTATTACGGGGCTCAAAGTGGAATAAACAATCTCTGGAAGATATATAAACACCACTTCCCTCCCTCTCCTGCCTTTATCTCCAGCTAGAGTCAAGATAGGACGACAATTAGCAAACCCAAAGCAAATTAAATTCTCACTTGATTACAACCTCTAGATTACTATTCTCTAAAAACACTCATGCCACACATCCATGGATTCTTGGACAACACTACCTTCGACTACCTCTCGACCATTGAAGACTACGAGACCTTCCAGGACCGTTTTATCTTCGGAAAAGAAGAACAAAAACTGTGGGAAAAGGGAGAAATATTCGACATCGAACAATCGCCAGAGGAAGAAGACATTACCGCCTTCCTACGACTCAGATCCACACGATACTGGATCATCCCATACCGTACAACCATTTTCGCGGTCATCTCAAAAAAGAGCGGCCTCCCTGTTTGTTGGACTACCCGAAGAAAAGTCCACGACCATCTCCAGGAAGAGGCCGAAGGGGATGAAAACTTTACCCTTCCATACGACGGAGCCTACGCAAAGTATGTGCAGTGGAAGTACGAGCGGGATTATCGCGACGGAAGACGATACGAATTATTCGAGGCTGTGGAACGACACTCCCTGGAGTACCAACTACCCCTTTATGGGAATACCAGGTTCGGGGATAAATTTCGGCAAATCATTTGCTGGAATCACGTCGTCGCACGAGAATTCGAACCTCCCTTCAATTGATAATCTGGAACGAGTCAGTAGCACAGAAGTCGCGGAATGGGATATATGTATCGATAATGCAGAAGACGATAATATCCAATCCACAGAAAGAGAGGACGAAGAGGTAGAAAAAATCCTAGAGGGCCACATACAGGATTTTTTGAAGAAATACGGTGAAGCAGAAAGAAGGGAAGCGTTGATTGAAGAAAAAGATACAGTCGCGGCGGATAAAGCGGAGTTAGAAATATATGTAGGAATGATTCAGGATTATATGAAAAGAAGGGGAGGAAATAGTGTATTCTACATAGGAGAGAATTATTACAAAGAGGTGGAGACTTACCCTCAGATGTTGAATCGCTTAGATTCGATAGGTGGTGAACGAATACTAGAAGTGTTGGGCTTAAAATTAGAGATTGCGGGGCTAAGGGCTTTTCATTTTGAATTAGCTAATATGTATGGAAAGCTAATGAAGAAAATAGCTAAGAAAGAAAAAAGCTTTCAAGTTAAATTAGATATTTAAACTAGAAATCTTTTTCTTTTTTAATTCAGGGGGAGGTGTAAACGGCCGATTTCGCTGTCTACCACGGAATTATTTGATTGGTCAAAAATTCCACCCCGAATATTTTGGATCGG